CTAACAATGTATAAGAACTAAAGTTAAATTATTATACGTCCATTATACAATTAATTAAAAAAAAAATCATCACATCTTCCTACAGAAATTGAGCTGTGATTCTTTCATCTAAATTATGATGATCAATTTCATACAAGTGGTGTGTGTAAACCGATAATCAGATAAGATATCTTTAGCTTCTATAGTAATACACTTATATTATATGTAAAACCAAAATTTTTATACTCCCAACGTATACCGGAATACTGGTGTTGTTCAACCTTAGCGGAGTTTCATTAATAACGCTACAAAATACTGTCACTGATTCGGAGTCTATTTCAGCCTTAGTTTAGTCCTTTTATTCACGTGATATACAAAAGCATCTATGCTTCGCTAAATTTAAAGGAGAGATGCTACATTGCCTAGAGCCGCCTTGTAGTTGTATCAATGGCAACACTGGTTAAGTATGCTGTATATATTACACACATAGAGGCCACGTCTTGCTCTCATGCAGAAAATGCATTAAAGTAGGAAATAACGATGTTGCACTATCCTAGGTTATCCAACAGCACCACCTATCTCACTCGCCGTTGAACACTACTATAATATAGCCTTTCTTTTATGAAGACTAAGTAAATATATACGGATACAGCTTTATATCTAGTTATGAACAACACGCATATTATTTGTACAACTAAGATTTAAGTTATGTGATCTCCCCCACTCGTTATATCATCACCATTCTTCTAAAATGAAGTTAACACCAACTACAGTTTATAATAGCTACTTCCTATGCACCAACTTTCTTATTATTATTCTCTATTAAATAACTTAAATATGTCTTTACAATGATGGAATAATAAATCTTTAAAAAAATCTCAAACCTCGCACATTTCCTAAATCTACTTCATAAGAGTAATTAGATTCACAAGAGTATCCTACAAAACATGAAATTTACCTGAAACTATTTATATACATATAATTTTCAATATTTTAAATACGCGTCTAATGTAGTATATTCGTTCAAACTGAAAGAAGTCTGTTGAAAAAGTTTATGAAAATAATACATGGCAAGATAAATGCTGATGAAGTAAGTTAATCTAAGATGTATAATGTATCGGTGTACCCGCTACGGTTATAAAGCTGATGAAGTAGGATAACTTGAGACCTATAACTTGTCGGTGTACCCGCTGCGGTTATAAAGCTGATGAAATAGGTTAACTAATATCTACAAGTAATAAAAAAGAAAACTTTGTAATTGTAAAATGACGTAGGGATGGCAGTGCCCAAAAGAATACAAACAAGAATGTAGGGATGATACAGCTATACATATATAATTTAATGTTACATTTTGAAATGCACAAATACGAAATGGTTTCGAGATCGGTCGAATTCACCGACCTCGTAGCGACAGTCTGTAATAATCAAGACATGTTTTGACTCAACTTGGTCTTCCTTGTACGCAAGTCCGAGGCTCTTGGTTATACTACAATGATGCCTACCCTAACATAACCATGATATTAAGATAAACAAACTGCATTCCAACAGTCAGGAATATATAATTTCCAACTGCAGTAATATTAAAGTCAAGTATGCATTTTACTGTGTAATATTAAATGTTAATATTGAATATCATGCAGGGATGATCTATGTATAGATGTATCATCCCTATATTATTGTTTACATTAGTTTTGACACTGCCATTCTTATATATCATTTTACATTTACAAAATGCTTTTATTGCTTGTTTTGTGACGTTTATTCCCCTGACTGAAAGTTAGTGTATTCTATGAATAAGTGTAATAAAATTTAATATTATGTGATGTTTTTTTACTCCTTCACTTCATACATAATATAGAGGTTGACTCCCTAAAGACACCTATTGGATAGTGTAAAAAGCATTGAGTATTCTACATGTTAGTCATCTAATGTTCATCTATTATTGGCTGGTAATTCTTGTTTTACCCTATACTTAAGCTTTTTAAAGGAACACCAGATTTATGTATAAAGCTAGCTTCAAGGGGTGATGATAACGTCGTTTACACTAGAATTATGATTTTTTTTTTTAAATTACTACTAGTTATTACGACGAAGCGATGACATCGCGTACTGCTCAGAAACACATGGAGTGAGTTTAGGTTTAAACTAACGTTAATGATAAAGTAGTTGTAGAATTATCTCGACTGAAACAAGGAGAAGAAAGATGATCAATTTGGTGGGTTGGTAACTTTCTGGTTTGGTATCATAGCAATGGTTTCTTGCCTTGTTGGGTAGAGAAACAAATGAAAGAAAGCGGCAATCATCTCTTAAAGTAAAACTCTGTCATTATTGATTTTTAGCGTCCATATTTGTATTATGCCTAGTGAGTACCTTGGCCATCTTACATATATAGTGTACCGACTCTATGATAACGTGTCGCTGTACCTGCTATGGTTACAAAGCTGATGAAATAGGCTAACCAAATATATATAACGTGTCGGTGTACCTGCTACTATTATAAAACTGATGAAAACGGTTAACCTAATATCTATAACTTGTCGGTGTACCCGCTACGGTTATAAAGC